GTCGCCGCCCCTGGGTGGGGGGCGCCTGTCAGTGTCGTTCTCCCCTTGGGCGGGCAGAGGGATTGTGATGGAGGGAGAAGGCGGCAGAGCGCGGGGATGACTAAGACAGGGAGCCAGGATGGCGGGCAGGGGGGGAGCCATTTGCAGAACCTAATCCACCTCCCGCCTCTGATCCCACAAGGCGCCGGAGGGCCAGGTGGCGGAGTAGGGAACCAACCGCGAAGATAAAGGGTGCTGGGTTTAGGGCGGCAGGCAGGTCGTGACCTCCAGGCGCCCCCTGAGAAAGGGCAGCTGAGATGGATCTTCTGGTGCTGAGGGAGAGAGGATGGCTCTGGGCCTTGAGGGGAGGCAGCAGGGCAGAGGAGGGAGGCAGGAGCTGACACAGACCCCTCCGCGGGCTCCCTCCCTCACCTTCAGGAACCCTGGCTTTCTTCGGGTGACCTTCACAGCTGAGGAAGAGACAGGCAGGAGGGAGAGGCAGCCTCCCCCTTTCTGTGGTCTAAGCCAGGTTCTGCTGTGACACCTCAGGCAGGTCACTTGCCCTCTCTGAGCCTCAGTTTCTCCATCTATAATGTGGACTGTTGGGTCGGATGGTTGTCCTGCCCGTCAAACGTCCAGGGAAGGCCCGTGCCAACCCTAGGCGTGAGAGGGAAGGGGTCGACTGAATCGGTGGAGTGTCGGAAGGCCACTGCGGGGGTGGCCAGGCCCATCTGGCCAGCAGAGGAGAGGCCGTCTGTCTCTCCTGCATATGCTCTCCTGATCGCGTGCCCCCCAGAGCTGACTGGTCGAGAGGAGTGGAAGGTCATCAGCGCTAGGGTGTGGAGGGGACCCTGGGGACGGCAGAGACTCAGGGCCTGGGTGCTGTCAGTGGCACTCGCTTCAGCATTCGCAGGGCACAGACATTCGGGGAGCAGCTGCTAACTGCCCCCTGTGCCAGGCTCTGTGCTCCATGCTTGGGGTACGGCGGGAATAGCTGTGGCCTCTGCTGTCTGCCAACCCCCCTGTGTCCCGCTGTGCTGAGCCCTCACAGACGCACACTGCACCCGGGAGCCAGTGCCAGGATGCTCATCCTACAGACGAACACTGGGCCCCGAGGCGCACATCTTGCACGAGGTCATGCATTCAGGAAGGGCAGCATCTGCTGGACTGCGAAGCCCGGTTCTTAGTCTCGACCCCCTACAGCCCCTGAGTGCCTGGCCCTGTACTGGGCTCAGAGCACTGCTCTGTGGCCCTCCACTGCTCCATCTGTAGAATGGGGACACTGACAGCTGCTGCCCTGCCTTTCTGCAAGGCTGGCTTGGTGGAAAAGCCCTTTTGTAAGCTTGTGGGAGGGAGGTGGTGACGGTCAGTGAGGCTTAGGACCTCCATGCCTGTCCCTGTCCCCAGAGTTCGGTGCTGCAGGCCAGCCTCGGCCCCGCAGACTTCAGCAACCGTCTGTTTGCTGAGTGGCAGAGCGAGGTGTGGACTCTGCCCGGGAGGCCTGGGCGTGCTCGCTGCCCTTTGTGCCCCGTGCCCTTGGCCGTGGTCGCTGCAGGAGGGTGTGCAGGTGTCCAGATGCAGGCCGGGGCAGAGAAGGCTTGGCCCAGTGTGAAGGAGCAAGTGGGAAAGCATCGTCGGTCCTGAAAGTGAGGAGGCCAGGGCTGGGGAACAGGCAGGGAAACTAAGGCTCCGTGGGGGTCCCAGCCAGCCCTGTGAGCTCCCTTACAGGCCCCCAGCCTGTCCACCTAGGGCTGGGTCCCTAGGCCCGTAAGCATGGTAACAGGCACCCTGCCTCCTGGGGCTTGCTGGGAGCCAAGCCTCCATGGAGAGGAAACGGAAAATGCTTCAGAGGAAGCAGAGGCTGCTCCAGGTCAGGCACCAGGGGACCCTGCTGGTGGCTCTGCCAAGGAGGTGGCCAGAGCTGCCCCACTAGGGCTCAACTGGGTCTATGTTATTTCTTCACATACATGCACACACACACATAGGCACACACACTCACACACGCACACACACACATAGGCACACACTCATGCACACACACACACTTTACAGGAGGAAAACAGGGGCCCATTCCTGTTGTCATTTGGCACGTATTCGTGGGGGTCCAGCTCTGGTGCTGGGGTCGGTATGGTGCAGAGGCCACGGCTCTGCGCTCCAGAAGGGGCTCAGTGTCGGGAGGGAGCTGGGCTGCTTTCCACAGGGAGGGCAGAGAAGATCTCTAGGAGGGGGTGGCCTCTGAGATGAGCACCGAGAGCTTAGGAGGAGGGTTCCAGGCCCAGGGAACAGCCAAATGCAAAGGCGCTAGGGCAGCAAAGACACCCGGAAAGCAGCTGCCACCCTGGCTGGTGTCTAGCTGTGGGGCAGGTGGGATCAGGAGATAGGCAGGGGCTAGATCTGCAGGGCCTTAGCCCATGGCGAGGAGCACGGGTTTATTTCCGTTGTTGTGGGAAGCTTTTAAGTCGAGGTGTGGGGAGCTGTTTGTGCAAGTGTGTGTCTTGGGGAGGGGGCAAGAGAGAAGGTGGGCGACGAGTGAGGAGGCTCTCGCTGCAAGCAGGAGGCAGGAGTCAGGGCCAGGGCTTTGCTGTGACAAGGAGAATGGGGTGATGGAAGAAGGCCCTCGGTGGATGGATGTGGAGGGCGAGGAAACAGGAATCAAGGGTGACACCAGGGGCTTTGGCCTGAGTGCCTGAGTGGGTGTTGTAGTCGGAAAGACTTTAGGAGGGGCATATTTGAGAGGTGGGGCGCAGGGTTTGCTGTCCGGCACAGTGAGCCTGGGACACCCGCCAGGCTTCTAAGTGGAGGTGTCAGGTGCAGTTTGGGGATGCAGGTCGGGAGCTCAGGGACCAGCGGGCTGCAAACAGAGATCGGGAAATCGGAAATCGTAGGTTAGAGCTGAGGTTGAAGCCGAGGTGTGAACGTAGAGGGCGGAGTCAACCCCAGGACTCTCCATCATGAACCACGCCCGGTGCTCTGGCTCCCTTCATCCCTCCCCTGCTACACATGCCCCCAGTGTTCAGGACCGGGAGCAGGGTGTCCTGGGACAGGCTTCTAGGCTCCAGCCCCCGGCCTTGCTCACGCTGGTGCCCAGATAGCTGGCATATGGGCAGTGCCCACCCTCCCTGCCCTTGTGGCCCACAGGAGGCAAAGCAGGTGGAACATGGCAGAGGGGCCGAGGGCTCAGGCTCCAGAGCCAGACCTGCCAGGTTTGAAACTCAGCTCTGCCACTTACAGGCCGTCGACCTCGGGCTGGTCCTTAACCCTACCTCTGCTCCCTCCTTGTCTGTAAACGGGGTAATAATAGCACTTCCTGTGAGGCCATGGGGAGCCCTGAGACAATGCCACGAAGCACCAGCGCAGAGGACAGGCAGAGGACAGGCCAGCTCTACTCCTGCCTGGGCATTAGCAGCAAGCCCTTTGGGCTGGTGTGGACCCGGAGGGGCTGGCGTGGGGTGGGGTGGGGGCTCTTCTCCATGCAGGGCGAGGTGGGGGCCTGGTGAGTGGGGCAGCCTGGAGGCAGTGTTTTCAGCATGCCCAGTGACTGCCTAGCCCCAGCTTGAGCACCCTGCCTCTCACCAATTGCCTTCGCCTTCCTCCATATTCTCACCCCAGTGTGCTGCTCTCCGGCCTCAGAGCCCTCTCGCTGTCAGGCCTGACCCTTCCACAGCGTCCATCACAGCGTTCCTACTTCTCAGACCTAGAGACCGAGGCCCAGGAGGAGAAGGGGTAACTGAGACAGCATGGGCAGAGGGTCACTGACCTGGAGGGCACCGAGGGCGCGGGCAGCCCTGCGCACGTGCAGTGTGCCAGGCCTGCAGGTGCAGCTGAGGATGAGCCACACTCAGCTCACTCGCCATGTGTTCTGCAGAGGGTACGGGGAGTTTGATGCTGAGGGAGGAGAGTCATGAGGGGTCTGAGAAGGTGTCCCGGGAGGTGACACTTTAAGGCTGGACCAAACAAGACTAGGACCTGGTGGAGCAAAGGACGCACCACTCCAGCTGCAGGGCCTGGCCCGAGTGGAGGCCTGAGGCGGATAAGGGCCCAGACAGGTGGGGAGGAGCCCAGCGGGCCTAAGGGCCCAGAGGAAGGGTGAGGGGCAGGTGGCTGGTGAGGGCCACAGGCAGAGGCGAGACTAGGAAGATCGAGAGTGGAGCTTGATGAAGCCCCTCTACCACTCCCACACCCAGGCTGCCCCAGCTTCTTGAGCTTGGGGCATGCACCTAGCCCCTGCTGCGCACACCGTGGGGAGCCCACTGCCCAGCCCCGCCCCTTCTGGTGGCCCAGAGGAGCTGGGGATGAAAGGTGACCCCGCAGATAGCATCGGATCTGGCGCCAGGAGAATGAGCTCCCCAGTCCTTGGCGGGGGTCAGAGGGTCAGAGGAGGGGAGGAAATACA